TTCGGGGCTACCAAGGGTAAGGAGTGTGCCCACATGTCCCTTGCTTCCTGGTTGCTTTCAAAACTCTCAGCACAGAAAGCATGAATCTAGAAGCCCAACAGTCAATGAAATCTAGTATCCCTTGGGCATGGTCCCTGACAGGACATTCAGCTTTTGCTTGGATGTCCCCAGGAGAGGATATGTCACCACCTCAGCAAAGAAGACTTCTAGGTTTACAGTCACTAACATACTTGAATATGTTGTACCCTGAGCCAGCAAAGGCAGCCCTTACACCTTCTAGTTTGTACCTTGGAAGGCAGAAGTCAGGATCTTTGTTCTCTGTGTGCACTGTCCACTGGCCTTCTACCTGGCTGTCTAGTCCCTCCTTTGTGCTTGTAGACCAAGCATGGAGAAACTGCGCTCTACTGTTGGGCAAAACTGCACGCTCCTTTCTGCTGTGAGAAACACCTTAGGATGCTTCAATTGCAGGGTATTAGAGCCTTGTCCCTCAGCAGGAAAAGGCTCACAGAGAGAAAAGGCAAAGGAGGGCTCTGAGCCACAGTGGGGGCAGGGAAAGGGGGTCTGTCTGTGATCATTCAGCCCCGAAATGATCCTCATGATGATGACTTTCCAGGCCATTAATTCAAGGGCTCCAGGCCCCCCCCCCCACATCACTGCCTGCTCTGGGAGATAAGCCCAGTTCTTTTTAACCCTACCTCTTCCCCCAAAGTGGCTTCCATCTCTGCTGGGCAGATATTTAACTCCCTGGATCCTGAAAAGCTTCAATGACTCATGGTGCCCATGCATCAGGAAAGGAGGCACACGTTATCTGGGCCCCAGAACCCTGATCCTTGGCTTTCTAGGAGTCCTGGGAGCTTCTGTCTATACTCTGTCAGGAAGTCCAGGTTCCCCCAAGGCAGAGGGACCCCACGGTGGCCCTAGGAGAAGGTACCCATCCCCAGACAGGACAGCTACAGCTTCAGTTCCCTCGCCACAAATCGCCCTCCCCATTTCTTAGTCACGGGATTTGGAGGTCAGAAGGGAAAACTGTGGCACCTCAGCCTCCTTGCCAGTGTCCGGCTGTCTGACACTCTTTCCCTTCCCATCTCTTTTTGTCTTCTCCTTTGTTCTCGCTTCTTTACAATCAGTGGTCACCTAAGGATGCTCCTGCGTGGTGTTTTCAGTGTGAATCATGTGTCCTCATGTCTGGGAGCCTGCTTGTGTATGTTTCTCCATGTTTGTACCTACCCTTGTGTTATATGTGTCTAAGCCTGTTATCTGCCTGTGAGAATGACTCCTCAGTGTCTGGTTTCTTTGTATGGGGCCAGTCTTGGTACAAATCTGGCACTGTGTGTGTGCTGGTCTGTCCTTGATCTGCACGTAGTTCTGTCAGTTGCCCTGTATGAGTCTGTGTGTTCATCTGTATGAGTCTCCCAACGTACTTGAACCTGTAGGTTGGTCCTCATCTCCTCCACGTTTCTGCCACTTGGTTTGCCAATGTATATGTGTCTATGAGTGTATTATGAGGTTTTCCATTGTGATATGTGTTTATGAGTGTATGCATGAGGTTTGCCATTGTATATGTGTTTGTGAGTGTATGTATGTGAGAGCTTGTACGTGTATATGCTGTGTTTCTACTCAGGGTCGTAGCCCATGCAGAGTCTTATCATAGTGAGCACCCAAGAAAAGCCATGCAGAATAATCTCGAGTCGGATGGCTTCACTAAAGCACAGCTTAACTCACCATCAGCTGGCTCAGTCCCATGCCCTCCACCCTCTTTCTGACCATTCTCTTGTCCCCAGGACAGCTCAGAACTGGAAGGGGCAGGTGGGTCTGAGACAAAAAGTATTCCTAGCCCAGTTTGCTCAGACTCTCAGACCCAGCCACATGCCTTCTGTATGCACACTTGCACCCCAGACAACAAGTAGCGTCTGGATACAATAACAAGACCAGTGGCAACAGCTGCCACATATTAGGTACGAAACACACATTAAGTAGTTTATATACAAGAGTTTTCTGAATTCTCTGAATAGTTATATGAGGCAGATCTCACATGGAAGGGATGAGAAAATGAGAATAAGAGGAACTAGGAGGGCAGGCCAACCAACTCCCTCGTGCTGGGATAGGACGAAGCAGGATTACCCCGTGAATGACAGGCTGCTCCGGAGCTTGCCACAGCCACTTCCAGCCTGGGAAGAAGCATTCACTGCAAACTGCAGGAAGAGGAGGTCCTTCCCAGCTGCTGCTCACAGCCCATTTTAACCAGAGGAGCTAAGATCTGATCTCGGATTTCACCTCTCTGGGCAGTGAAGGATCAAAGACTCAACAACAGTCCGAGAGAGGCGATGGAGGTTTACACAGAGGAAGGATCTCTGGGGGAATCGTCTAGCTCCCTGGGTTCTAGGCTGGCTTCCCCTTGGATGACCTTGAGCAGGACACTTCAATACATTGCAGGGATGAGGGTTTGCGTATCTGTAAAGTTAGGGACGAAAAGAGGCTCTGTCAGGATATTTGAAGATGGGGGACAGGATAAATCAAGTGCTCCCTCAAAATTAGATCTCAGAGCTGGGAATTGGGGTGAGGAGTGCAGGTGGGGACCACACTTGTTCTGGTAACTCCAACAGAATGGCCAGGCACAGTAAGATGGTAAAAAAGGTGCACAGAATGAGTGAATAAATAAATGGCCTCGTTTCTCACCAATGAACCCAACAGCCCACTGGCTCAATAATAATAATAATAATAATAATAATAATAATAATAATAATAATAAAACACTGTAAAGAAAACAAAAGAGAAGATAAGTGCTTTGGACTTGCTTGTCAAGGAAGGCATCCATAACTATCTTAAAGCGTGTGTTGAAGGGCACCAGAGGTCACTGCAAAGACACTAGGTCCCTCTGCCTACATTTGTCAGGTGGGCCGGAGGAATTCCTACAGGAAGAAGAGACTAGGAAGGGACGGAAACCCTTGTCTGGAGGAATCTGTAGGGCAAACCTCTGGGTTGAAGGGTCCCTTCTGTTCAAAGCTTTTTTGGAAGGGAGGATGTCCGTGTACCTACTGAGAAGGAATCTCTGTCTTGTCTTTGCTTCTATCAAATGGCTGGAGGTGACCAGAATTCGCTATGTTGGGGGAAGGGTTTGATCTTGGTTTGGCAGGAAGTGGATTTTTTTTTTTTTTTTGCAGTGGGCATGTGTGAGGGAAGGGGGCTCTCGTAGGGAGGGGTGAGGAACACTCTTTCCGACGTATGGAGGTCCCCTACTTGGGAGAGAGACCTGTCAGAGACCAAGAGGTGCTTGAATTGAAGGGGGAGGGGCTAAGGGTAGCCCGTCTAGTCCTGGCAGCTCCTACTCGCTGGTCAAAGCCCTCAGGCCGCCCTACTTGTGCGCTGACCTGGGCTAATCTAAAAATACTGCACAGGAGGGAGAGACTGGGGTTCCCACGAAGAACGAGTCTTCAGAGGGGACATGGGGGGGTGTCATCATTTCTTTCAGCTTTCCTCGGCCCAGTGACAACGCTCTCTATGCTGGGTCTGCTGCAGGTTCCATCCCGTGGTTTATTGCTCTGGAGTTAGAGAAAGAACCTAGCTGAGGACATAGGCAGGGACCCACACGGAACAGCCTCAGCCGACCCGCACCTCACGGAGACTACAAAGGGACTCACGCCAGCACACACGCAAGCAACTCCATTCAGGAACAGCAGCTCTGCACCGAGTCTCCACTGTGCACAAAACCGCACACGGAACACACACGATTACCGAACCTCACGCTCAGAGTTCACACAGCGCCGACCCACAGCGGTATCTGATGCGATGTCTTTGTCTCTGCATCTCTTTGGTCTTCGTGCTCGCACACAGACGCACGACACTCAACAGAAGCATCCAAGCTCTCACAGTCCAGGGGGGCGGTGATCTGAGCCTGGCCGAGCGCACCGTGTATCTGCGCCCGGGATCGCAGGACCGTGAAGCCCGCCTTTCCTCCATCCTGCCTTTGCTACCGAGAGGCATCCTTTGAGTCCTGCTCCTTCCAAGCCTCCATATAAAAAGAGAAAGAGAGAAAGGGAAAAAAGCGAACTGGCAGCCTTTCGCCTCCACTCTGCGCGCATCTGGAGAGCAGTTGGTGGCGAGCTACCCGCTTCCATCGTGGCATCCCTGGACGGCAGAAACGGCTTAGACGGTCCTGTCCGGGGCTGAACGTCTTTAAAAGTGATCCAAGACGTTCACTTCTGTCACCAAGATGGACTTGCGACGAGATTTAAGAGCGCGTAATAGATGGCAGGGAGACAGACAGCCCGCCCGGCTCCGCTAAAGACCGGCAACTGTCCTATGGCTATCCGGACTTCAAGCCAGAAGTTCTGGGTCCGAAAAGCTTGGGGACTCTGGAGGGTTGGTCTGGGGATGGAGGACCTCAATAACCAGCCCACACTGAACTCCTCCCTCCTTGCGGCGGCGACGAGGTGGGACGGGCCAGGGAGCCCGCTTAGCACCTCCTCCAGAAATGCAGCACTTGGGGGGCTCCCCACCCACATCTCCCCGTGCTCCTTCCCACCGCCTTCCCAAGGGTTCCTCTCTCCAGCCCCTATCACACTTCCGAAACCTTCTGTGGCCCCTTTCCCTCCTCCCAGCCCCCACCTCAAGTCCCCCGGCTTGGGCAGTATCCCCTTTCCGCCCTCCGCCCACGCACCGCCTGACTCCGAGGGGGTGCGAGCGCATTGGGCTGCGCCCGCGTGGGGGCGCCGCGCCAGCCTCGCGTAGCTGCTCTGACGCCGCCGTCGCCGCCGCCCTCTGCAGCCCGGCAGGCACCCGCGCCAGCTCTGCAGAGCTCTCGTCACCTCTCTGGCCGGTCCCACCGAGAGCCATCCTATCACTCCGGGAGACAGCCTCGAACGCAGGGCGCGAGGGTCATGAGCCAGAGCGCCCCGGGGTGCCGCGCCAAGAGCCAGCAGAGATAGCGGCCCTCGCTGCCTTAACACGCGCTCGCCGCGTCCCCAGACCCTTCTGTCCTTTCCTCCTGCCCCATCGCCACCATGGCTACCCTGCTCCGCAGCAAGCTGACCAATGTGGCCACGTCCGTGTCCAACAAGTCCCAGGCCAAGGTGAGCGGCATGTTTGCCAGGATGGGGTTTCAGGCGGCTACGGATGAGGAGGCGGTGGGCTTCGCGCACTGCGACGACCTCGACTTTGAGCATCGCCAAGGCCTGCAGATGGACATCCTGAAATCAGAAGGCGAGCCTTGCGGAGAGGAAGGCGCCGAGCCGCCCGTCGAAGGAGACATCCATTATCAGCGCGGCGGCGCTCCTCTGCCACCGTCTGGCTCCAAGGACCAAGCCGTGGGAGCTGGTGGCGAGTTCGGGGGTCATGACAAGCCTAAGATCACAGCGTGGGAGGCGGGCTGGAACGTGACAAACGCCATTCAGGTGAGCGCGGGATTCCCAGCTCTTACTGTCACCACCCCCACCTGAGCGGTGATTGCCGGGCTCTGCTCCCACACGAACCCCGCAGAGGTCTAGGTTTCAATGCCCGTTCCCCCCAGGACTCGAGAATTTATCTCCTCTTCTCCGACCTTCCTAGCTGTGTGGGGGATCTACGCCCCCAGGTGGTGTCCTGTTCAGATCCACACAGCCTCCTCTTACTGCCCCTGCGGCAGGACAACTTGGCTGAGGTTTGGGGCGGGAGGGGGGGGGCACAAATTTAGAGACCCTGCAAAAGCTGGAGAAATGGGGAAGAGCTTGGGGCGGAGGTGGGGGTGGGAGGGAGAAAGAAAACCAGGATCGGAAGGGACAGTTTGCCTTGGGCTGCGAAATGGAGTCACAGTTGCATTTTCCGGAGGAGATAGAGGGTGGGGGCGGCAGGGGGGGGGAGGGAGAGCTGAGCTGGGAGTCTCCTCCTCCGGACACACGCAGAAATTGTGCACACGTACAGAGACAGACATGTCTGTCTCCTCGGTCCCCTTCCCCATGAACAAACAGGCACATGACATGCATCGATTTACAATTGACGAGGTTACCCGAGACGTACTTGGTACACCCCAAGGCTTTCCTCCAATTGCAGCAATACTTTTTACACAGCAAGTGCCCATGTCCTAACTTGATTATAGTGCATGCACACACAAGCACACACTCAGGCAGACACAGCACCCACTTGGCTGGTGCAGCTTTGTTGGAGACTAACAGGCTAGCACATAGGACTCCGCGCCACGCAGCTGCGCAGACTGACTCCTTTCGCCCGAAATCCCGGCTGCACTGAAGAAGCCCAAGCGCCTGCTCCACCTTCGGGCCAAGCAGCTCCAGAGGCTGAGAACTGCCTTAGGCCGTCAAACTCGTCCTCTGTAACCTCTAATCCCAACCCCTAGTCCAGTCCCATTCCCACCAGGAGCGCGGAACTCCTCCGCTGAATGATTTGGATGTCTCAAAACAACCCCGGGAGCGGGCAGGGGTTGATGGGCCCCAACTTCTGGGAGGGAGGAGGCCTCGATTCTGGGAGCCCTTGGGCTCTTTGTCTTGGCTCCCTAGCTTCTCTGGAGTGTTGACTCGTTGAGACAGAGAACGCAGGTTTTTTAGGGGTGGAAGGCAGCAGCTGGGTTTCTCTGGACTTTAGATTCGGAGGGATGCTTAGGTGTTTCTCTTCCCGTGGCACTTCCCACTCAGGGACAGGAGATTGAAAGAATACAGGATAGGGTTGGAGTCCCAGAGGCCTTCGCGATTGCAGGTGTTTCTCCCTGTGTCTTTCATGGTTCTCTAGCCCGGAGAAAGGTAGGCTGGAGGTGCGCAGGCCTCGGGAATCTTGTATTTCGTTAGCTTTTTTTTTTTTCTCCATGTAAATTACAAACGACATTGCACCGCTTTGGCCCTTTCATCTGCTCGGATTCTAGAGACCTGTCGGCTTTGGTTTCCCCGCAGCAGCGGTCCTGCTTCCTGGGTGGGAAGGGTCCTTACTCTGATGCCCTTTGCAGATCCCACTTAAAATACCCTTCTTATGGCTCGTCCTGGCCCCAACTCCAGCCTTGTCCTAGGATTCCCAATCCATATTCCCACCCCCTCTCAGTTCCCCAAAGCCCTGTGTCTAGCCAAAGTGTCCGCATATTTCTTCCTTTCTGGCTTCTTTTGGGTTTCAGTCGGTTCCTTTCTACCCGGCCTCTACTCCTCTAGTTTGACCCTTAAGACACCTCATTAATGAGCATTCCATTCCAGGCCACCTTAAATCCGGTGCCCGGCTCTTCGGAGCTTTTCAAATTGCGCTTCTGGGACCATGTTCCTTCCAGTCCCTGCTTTCTATACCCTCTTCTGATTGTATCCCCTGGAATTATCTGCTAGGATTCCTGTATTCCCTTCTACCCTCAGACTCCTCCAGCCATCCCCCCCTCCCCCCCCCCTCCCCCCCCCCCCCCCCCCCCCCCCCCCCCCCCCCCCCCCCCCCCCCCCCCCCCCCCCCCCCGTTCCCCGCACTAGCCTTCCCTCTGACTTAACACTCAGATTCTGCTTTGGTGCCCTTTTCACGAGGATTCATCCCAATCCCCCATCCTTTCCACCTGGTCGCTTAGGCGCAAGCCCCCTCCCCTAGCTCCCTCTAGCGATAGTTTTGGGCTATACCCCCAACAATCCCTTTCCAAGGCTGCCTGGGCTGAGCTCCTGGATCTGGTTGCCTCTTTGCACCACAGGGCATGTTTGTGCTGGGCCTACCCTACGCCATCCTCCACGGCGGCTACCTGGGGTTATTCCTCATCATCTTTGCTGCAGTGGTGTGTTGCTACACCGGCAAGATCCTCATCGCATGCTTGTACGAGGAGAACGAAGACGGCGAAGTGGTGCGCGTGCGGGACTCTTATGTGGCCATAGCCAACGCGTGCTGTGCACCCCGTTTCCCCACGCTGGGTGGCCGCGTGGTTAATGTGGCCCAGATCATCGAGCTGGTGATGACGTGCATCTTGTACGTGGTGGTGAGCGGCAACCTCATGTACAATAGCTTCCCGGGGCTGCCCGTGTCGCAGAAGTCCTGGTCCATCATCGCTACGGCCGTGCTGCTGCCCTGCGCCTTCCTGAAGAACCTCAAGGCCGTTTCCAAGTTCAGTCTGCTGTGCACGCTGGCCCACTTCGTCATCAACATCCTGGTCATCGCTTACTGCCTCTCGCGCGCGCGTGACTGGGCCTGGGAGAAGGTGAAGTTCTACATCGACGTCAAGAAATTTCCCATCTCCATCGGCATCATCGTGTTCAGCTACACGTCGCAGATCTTCCTGCCCTCCCTCGAAGGTAACATGCAGCAGCCCAGCGAATTCCACTGCATGATGAACTGGACGCACATCGCCGCCTGCGTGCTCAAGGGTCTCTTCGCGCTCGTCGCCTACCTCACCTGGGCCGACGAAACCAAGGAGGTCATCACCGACAACCTGCCCGGTTCCATCCGCGCCGTGGTTAATCTCTTCCTGGTGGCCAAGGCGCTGCTGTCCTACCCGTTGCCCTTCTTCGCGGCCGTCGAAGTGCTGGAGAAGTCTCTCTTCCAGGAAGGCAGCCGTGCCTTCTTCCCCGCCTGCTACGGAGGCGATGGTCGCCTCAAGTCGTGGGGGCTGACGCTGCGCTGTGCGCTGGTGGTCTTCACGCTGCTCATGGCCATCTACGTGCCGCACTTCGCGCTGCTCATGGGCCTCACCGGCAGTCTCACGGGCGCCGGCCTGTGCTTCCTGCTGCCCAGCCTCTTCCACCTGCGCCTGCTCTGGCGCAAGCTGCTGTGGCACCAGGTCTTCTTCGATGTGGCCATCTTCGTCATCGGCGGCATCTGCAGCGTGTCCGGCTTCGTGCACTCACTCGAGGGCCTCATCGAGGCCTACCGAACCAACGCAGAGGACTAGCGGGCGGGGCCCCTGCCTCCAGCTCCCACCCCGCCTATCCCGATTACCACCCCCTATTCCTCACCCCCCGCCCCCCAGCCCCGTGCGCCACCACCGCACTAGGGAGGCCGAGCTTTAAACATCTCTGGTTCCCAGTTGCTAATTATTCAACGGGGGACCGGGTGGGGGAGGGAGGGGATAAACATCCAAGGTCCACTGCGTCTGCGTTTCTGTCGTCCTTTCTATTCCACTCGGCCCTAGTTTGCGGGGAGGGAGAGCGTATTTGTGGAGAATGTTTTCTGTCCTTCCTGGAGCCTCCCTCGCCCCAACTTTGGCTCCAGACACGGGTTGGGGTGGGAAGGGAGGGGAAAGGGGCGCCCGCAGCTCGCAGGCTCGGAAACTTGACCTTGGGGGTGGGGTGGGGGACATTTCACAGCCATCCAGTGCTTGGAATTTACAGCGTCCAGCCATTTCCAGCAAGAGCGCTCCCCATGCCCTAGACATTTCAACCTTGCGGCCAGAAGGGCTGGCCGGGAAATCCATTTCGGTCGGGCGACTTCCTTCTGGAGAAGCCGCGGCAGGAGCCTGTTTGCCTGCCGGTTTTCAGGAACCCAAACTCATCTTGTGCAATGTGTCCGGTTGTGGAACTGTATACTGTGCGTGTGGTGTGCTCGTGGTGAATAAGATGAAATGTATATCAGAAAAAAAAATCTATCTCTAATTTAGAGTGCGGTGCATAATAATTATATCCGCAAATAAAGAAGAAACAAAGGCGTTTCTGGCCTCCCGTTCCCGGCTGCCCAGCGCGGTGGTAAGTGGGAGGGAGGTGGTGGGGACACCCAGCTCTGGGCAAGTAAAACAGGGAGGGAGGAAGGAACAATTGTGGTTAAAAGGTCCTGGGAGAATTGAGTTGGTTCGACGTCAGGATGAAAGAACCAATGGACCCCTTCCAGCTAGAATTCGGAGGAATTCATAGAGAATATGGTGGATTCTTTCAGCTTCCAACACTAAAGTGGGCAGGATGCAAATTTACTGAACAAATGTTTGATTCTTAGGGTTAGGGCTAAGTTGGGTAATAGAGTAAACTCCTAGTTTACAGTAGGGGGCGTATTTCAGGGCGAGGGGAAAGCCAGGTAACAAAGGACCAAAAGCACAAATCCCTTGAGGGTCTGCAAACTTGGAGGAGAACGATAAAGGGGTGGATTGTGGGTTTTCCAGGCCCTTGGGACCAGGCGCCAAACCCATTGTCTTTCAGGCACCTAATACCCCAAAACACCCTACCTCAAGCCCCCTCTGGGGTTTATGCAGCCAGCCAAAGGGATTGGTCATTTACAACAAACCCTTGGAGCACCCCCCCCACACACACACACACACCAGCACCCCAGCCTCCTAGCCACGCCAAAGGGATTGGCCATTCCCCACTCCCCTGCACAGCTTGCCAACGTGATTGCCTGATTTATCCAAGCCAAGGAATGGGGTAGGGACTGGTCTGGGTGGTGTTTTGTTTTTCGTGCTGCCTTGAAGGGCATTTGCCTGGGTCTGCTGGGAAAGGTTAGGGTACTCTTTCAGAATGGAGCTGGAGGGCTGGGCTGCTGTTGGGTGCCCCCTCATTGTGGGAGGAGCCATTGTCTAGGCACAGGCTTTTAGAGTGAATCTAATGACTAAGCTGGGTGCCAGTCTCTCTGCAGTGGGGGAGGAGGGAGAAGAGAGGAGCAGGGAGAGTGTATCTGTGTCTCACAAACACCTTAGTAAATGTGTGTGTGCATGTCCACGTCATAGTGGCTGGGTCTTTGGTGCACCTGTGACAGTGGTGGCCTCAAATCAGTGTGGTTCTGCAGCTGCAGAACCGGAGCAGGAAGGAGTAGGCTACCAAGCAGCGCTTTGAGATGCTTGTCCCCCTCCCCGTTTCTTTGCTTTATTTCCCTTTGTCCCTATGGCGCTATGCTCAGGCCTCAGCACAAATCAAAGAATTCTATTTCCAGTCCTTCATGATCACTGATGTCTCCCAAACCCCGGGAGGAGGGCGCCGAGTGTCCATCCTCCTGCCTTGTGTCAGCTTCTCGGTGGACCAGAAGTATGCTCAGACCCAGAGCCCACATTGCAGCTCAGAAAAGGCTATACAGGGGCAGTAGTCCTGACCCACTGTGCCAGCTATGTCCTTATCCGTAGAAGGACAAATGAGATTAGCAGTAGGGACAGGAACTGCTAGCTCTAGGATTTGCTTGCATTTCTCCAGTGGGTTTTGGCTCCAATCTTTGGGCTCAATTTGAAGGGGCCCAGGTTCCTAAGAGCAAATCCTAATGGTAGCATTGGCATAGAGCCCCCTATAGTCACAAATGGAACTCTACACCTTAGTGAGTGGGTCACAAATTATCAAATTAGGATCCAGGTTCCTGGGGGAAATGGAGGCAGATGGGATCCGTCTCCATATTTCCTCGCTTCTCTCCAAAGTGCATGAACAGAGATCACAAAGAAGTTGCTAACCACAGTGCACTCACCCCTGCTGTCTGCATCCTAGGAGAGCAGCCTAGGAACACGAGGACTCTGCATCAGCCCCACCCCATACACCCAGGCTTCCCAACAGTTCCTCTCTCGCGCGCGCATCCTGACTCCGTGTGTTGTTAACTCTAATAAGCTGCCCCTATCTACTGCAGAGATATGTCGGTGTACCTGTCTTGTGCCCTTGAGAAACCACAAAGATCATGTCTGCCAGCCACAGAGTCTGGAAGTGACCCTGCCTCGCCTCCCCAGTGGTCAGAGCGTGAGCTTTCTTCTTCATTGTTTTGGTGCTTGTCTCCGAGTTCCCTCTGCTTCCCCCCCCCCCACCTCCTGGAGTTAATTCTGTTCTCCCTCCCTACCCCAGTGCTTTGCTTCAGTATCGTTCGTCAAAAGTGAGTCTTCGGTGATTTATTTTGCCAAACTCTTGATGCTCTAGTATGGGGTATTTGGTTATATGATGCACCCTTTCCCAGAGATTGATATGTTCCTTGTTCAAAGACCTTAGAGTGATGAAGGGAGCCAAACAGGTCCAAGGGGAACCACTAAGCCATGGAGAGGATCCAGGCCTTGCTGTGCATCCTTAGAACTCCGCTGTCACCAAGCCACTGCCAGTGCCTCCCCTGAACTCCTGTCTTATCTCCCTGGGGGCTTTCTAGGATACCTAGGGAGACATAATTTGGAGTTGAGGAGTTATCTCCCAACATTGAGCCAGTTAGTGATTCCCTTCTCTGGTCCTCTGATGAAATGACTTGAGACCTGTCTTATATAGAGACCCCAGAGGGATCTGATAGCTCATCAGACATGTTTTATTTGACTCCCTCTGTCTTCCCTCTTTCCTCCCAGCACTGCCTGGGATCTCTAAGCAAATTAAATGCATTTGCTTCTTTGTCTCAGTTTGCTTTTGTGGAGATCTAAGGCAAGACATTTACTTACAAGACTTTTAATCTAATGTAGTATCACCACCACCACCACCCCAACCCCCAAGGTATCTACTCAGAGACTCTGGCTAGGCTGGAAAAAGCAGAATAAAACGGGAAGTACTTTAAAGACTTGTCCCCATTCCACCCAGATGTTCGGAGATAATAACCACCATAATTTCTCCCCTCTTCCTGATGTGTCATTGACTTGGGACCATTGGCATGAAGACTGAGGCGATGGGTTGGTGGATGGATGGATGAATGGATGGACGATTGGATGATGGACAAGTGGGTGGGTGCTTTCATAAATGTCAGTGATTGGATGAATGAGCAAATGGGTAGGTGGTTGAGCGAATGGAAGGAAGAGTGGGTAGACAGAAAAATGAGTCAGTGGAGGAGCCAAGGAAAGGATTAGTGGCTAGATCAATGGATGAAAAGAAAGGAAATGGAGGATGCAGCCATAGCAACCTCCTCCTCTTCCTTCTCATTTTCCTTCTTCATCTTTTTTCTTTTTTGGACAAGTTCTCACTGTGTAGCCCTAGCTGGCCTAGAACTTATTATGTAGATCAGGCTGCCTCCAGAGGGCTGGAATTAAAGGCATACACCACCACACCTGACTTGTTTAGTATCTGAAATGGCTGGCTTAAACTTGCTATGTAGCCAAGGCTAGTCTTGAACTCCCCCTGCCTGCACACCTTGAACACTGGGATAACAGGTATGTGCCACCACACTCCGCTCATGACGACAATCTTTAAGCATAGTAAACTGCCAGGGCAGATATTGTCTGCTTGGCTCCCTCGTGCATCTTCACCAACAGATCACACACAGAATTTACCTAAGTGTGTTTTGTAAATTAATAGATAGATCCTTGGATTTACAAAGATTATCAGCACCATTTTTACATCAAAGCTACGGGAAAACAAATATGGGATCAGCCAGTGGAGTATGTAAAAACGACAAAAACCCTAGGCCGGGCCCTTGGGCAATAATATTTAAAGATCAGGCAAAGGAAGAAGAGAAGAGATTGGTGAAAAGGAGCCAGAGAGGTAGGAATTAAAATAGGCTGGAACTGAGGAATAGGCTTCAAGGAAGAAGTGGTAAGATGGTTTCTTTTCCCTCTGCAAATGTCATCTTGGGACAGGGATGGAGGTGTGGACATCCTCTGTCCCTAATTCCTAGCGGTAAAGAAACCCAAGAAGCTTCTCAGAGAGCAGTGGGGCAGGGGCTTGCTAACGGGGTGTTCTAACGGGGCCTGCCTCCGAAGAGTGTGCTAAATAGGGAGAAGGATACCCAGAAATGAAGGAGAAGGGGATGGAGAGAGAAGGGCAGCTCAAGTGAACAGGGAGCTTGGCTGCCTGCAGTCAGGGTTCCTCTGCAACAGACCAGGACTCAGGGTCACATTTGAATGGGGCAGCACATATGGGAGCCAATGCTAGGGAGACTAGTGTGGCACAGCGGAGAAGTGAAGGACAGAAAATGATTATCTGCTCCCAGGACATCGCAGGCAGGTGTGCTCCTTTGGAAACCTGGAAGCTGCAGAGGTTCCCCAGTGAGCATATTTGAGGAGCTGAGGGTGTGAATTGTCATCCTTTGGCCTTCACCAGCTGGAGGTTCAGGGAAGCGGTGGTAGCTACTGGGCACTTCCCATGAAACTGTTAGCTGGAGCCTAGGCAGGAATTCAGTCAAATGTTCAATCAGACAGCGGGTTAAAATAAAGACATTCGATCTGGTCTCGAAAAATTACCTTTCATACCCTCTGCTGTATCTCAGAAGCTGCTAGAGCATGCACCCCAAAACAAAGGAGTAAGCTGGTGTATGGTGTGTGTGTGGTGTGTATGTGTGTTTGTGTGTGTGTGTGTGTTTGAGAGAG